GGCCTTTTAACTTGGATCCCCCAGAAGACCGGAAATGGAAATGTGCCAAGGGACCCACAAAATGAAAGGGCACTCCTGAGACTCTTAGAGGTTGCACAGGAGGGACCACACAGGAATCAGGAAGGGAACTGCTGACTCTGGGGCACCAGCCTGCATTCACTAAGCTCCCAGCCTCGTGTGGCAAGATTTGAAATTTTAAAAAAATTGAAACATATCTGCTCTGCCACATTTTCATCAAAAGAATCAAAAAATTTAAGTTCACTGATAAGTTTCTTGACTTAAAAGAATAAATCCTGGGCCCTGATCCTGCAACATGCCTTCCTCAACACCACCAGAAGCAGTTCACAGACCTCATTTCTTACTCTCCACTGTGTTCCCAGTGCTGGTGCACATCAGACTCCCAGTGCTGAGACCTCGTTAATTAAACCAGAATCTCTGGAGGTACAACCCAGGCCTCCAGACTTAAAACTCTGGGTGACTCCAAAATGCAGCCCAAAGTGGGAATTTCGACACAAGTTACACAAATGTATTGAAAATGCTGTGAAGTCCAGGTGGAGAATCAAGCATGAGGAAGGCACAGAGAGCCACACACAGTGCAAGGGCTGGTGGAGTGTGGGCGCTCACTTCCTCCCCAACCCTTGGCAAAGCCACTGGAAGAAACTAGAGTGTGCAGCCTCTGTGGAAAATAGTATGGAGAGCCCTCAAGAAATTAAAGATAGACATTCCATACAATGCACTTATCCCAATCCCGAGTGTTTACCCACAGAATACAGAACACTGACTCAGAGACATACTGCACCCCAGGTCTATCACAGCATTATTCACAATACCAAAGAGTTGGAAACCACCTAAGTGCTTGTTAACTGACAAAAGAAGAAAGATGGTGTGATAAACACAGGCAGTGAAATACTATTTAGCTATACCAAAAAAAAAAAAAAAAATCCAGCCATTTGCAACAAGAATGGGCTCAGAGGGTGTTATGCTTAGTGAAATAAGTCAGATAAAGAAAGACACTGAATGATTTCTCTCATGTGGGAGACAAAGAAACATAACGAATGAGAAAAAAAAAAAAACTCTTAGACTCTAAGGACAAAATCAGTTACCAGAGGGAAGGAGGAAGGGATGAACAAACAGGGTAAAAGGGGGTGATTGTTTGGCGAAAGATGGAAACTAGACTTTCCGTGGTGAGCACAGAGTGGTGTGTACAGATGTGCAATTATAATGCTGTACACCTGAAACCTGTGTGAAGTTATAAACCAACGTTCCCTCAATAAAAATTTTACTAAAAAAAATGCAAGGGGTGGCTGAGAGCCGTTAAGTTAGCGCTGTCAAAGACAGCGAGGACCATCACACTTCTGGCCCTCGACGGCCTGCATCTTCTCAGCACAGGGCACCTTCTGAGCGATCTTCATTCAGCCACACGGACTGCAGATGCGAAGGGGGCAGGGCGACAAGGAAAAGAAACAGGCTGCTCAGCCAGCCGGAACGCAAGCCCTTTGTGCAGGGATGCTGGATGTGGTGGATAATTTCTTAATTCTCATCGCGATTCGGTTCACGGAGACTTCTGGAATGTCTTTATCCATCACAGATGGTTTGGGAAGATGATAAATTAATATTGTTTAAATGGAGGCATGGCTGAAAGGGTTAAATGGCAACGTCTTCTTTGCCAGTTCTAAAGAGAAAGCGCCCCCAAGTCCATAAAGAAGACAAATGGTAAACAAAACCTCCTATCTTTTGACAGATTCCAGGATGAGTATCATTCACAAACTATTCTATGGAGAAAAGGGAGAAATTCATCTCATCGGACTTTGTATAGGACAACGGCCCATGCCATAATGAGGCCTTCCCAGTGCTGTGAAATTGCACTGAATAGCCAGAGTGCAGCCGCCTGTTCCCTGGGCATGTTTATTACAGTCCTTTGTATGCGCCAGTCCTGCCAACCCCAGTTTGGTTCTAAACTAGGGGAGGGGAGAAAGAACCCGACAAATTTGTTGCCGTGAAACTTCCCAAATGGGAGACGGCGTAACAACGCTTGGAATCCAATGCCCTCACTTGAAGCTGTTCTTGTCTGGGTCCACCCCTGCTCTAAAGTGAACAAGGCCCAGAGTCAGCCAATCATCAGCAGTGTATGGGTGGCCCTGGCCCCCACCCCTGCCCAGGCCCTCCCAGGCCCTGGGAAGTCAGGGGGGTAAAGAGAGCACTGATGGCCATTTCTAAGCACCCTCAAGTCAACTGCCAATTTGGGAGTCAAGCCAAGGAGAACTGCTGGTTGTCCCAGTTCCCCTGTGAAATAGACCTGAAGTGTGTTTCACATTTTCAGGGAAAGAAGCCTTTACCTGAGAGCCTTCGATGATGGGGCTCCCTGGGGTCGCTCCCAAGAGGAGTGGGGGTTCCATAGCTACAAGACTTTTGAAAGCCTTGCAGAGCAATCCATCAGAGACCAACCGCTGGGGAGCCCGAGTACTTCCATCAGAGGAAACACTGCTTTTATATATCTGCCCCTCCAGGACAGCACACTCCATGTGGAGACCTCTCTGAAGATCTCCAGGGTACAGTCTGAATGAACCTCTACATCTTCCTTCCCTTCCCCCTATCAATGGGCGGAAAATGTCTTGAGGAAGTTACTATAGATGTGCAGTTCCCACACTCACTAAGAGTGTCACACCAGCAAAACCTGAGGGAAAAGATCTGGAGTGCACTTCTTGCTCACCAGCCAGAGATCCTTTAAGGCAGTGTCTTTCCATCGGTCATGAAGCAGGGCTCTTCTACAATGTTTTTTTCCCCACCAATCAGGTTGCAGGATCCTTGAAGCACTGTCTTTCCTCACCAATCAGGAGACACTAAGGTTCCCACTCTTTCCTGCCAAATCTTCTCAGCAGGATAAGTGTCTATCCTGAGTAACTAGCCCAACCTTACATTCCCCCTTTTCTGGGGGTTCTCTCAGTGGGAGCAGTGGTTCTTCCAGGCTGAGACAGAAGACACAGCCACCTAAGCTGCCCACAGCATTGGACCTAACAAGACAGGAGCAAAAGCTCATGTACCTGCATCAGCCCCTCCTAGAAACCAGCAAAGGAAGCCAGGTGTCTTTGCAGAGTGGCAAGGAACTGCAGAACTAGCTATAGGATTCCGGAAGTCTGTTGCTTCCTTGCACCCCACACTCTGAGCAGAGAGGCCAACTGACCCTCCCCACAACAACAGAGGAACAGGTGAGAGGCAAACAGCAAGACAGGGTCCTGCCCCTGCTGGTCTTCCCAAGACAACAGAAACTGGCCCAACGGGAAATAACCAGTGCCCCTTGACTGAGCCCAGAACTTCGCACACGTGGGCACAGGGCTGCCCCCCTAAGTGGCCTATGCTGGTTAAAATTTCTTGGCCAAATTCCCAAGAAATCGATGTACAACCAGTTGTTTACAACACCCTGGTTTCATTTCTTCTGTAAATACTTGGGCACAGGTGAAGGAGCTGGCAGCCTTCCAACTGCCTTCTCTGAAAACCCACAGCGCTCTCTCCCTGGCCACGCCTGCTCACACCTCCTGCCACTATGAATGTGCCTCCACCACCTTCTCATTCTCTGATCAAAATCTCCTGGAGTCCCACCACGATGCACTGGGTTTTGATGTGGAAACAGCGCTGCTATCTTACGCTTAAATTTCTCTTGGCAACCACCAGAGGCAGCCTTAAGTCCACAGATCTGGAAGAAAAGCCTGCCTGTGTCTTGGGAGCTACCCTACGCGTTCCCATTGATCTGGAATATGAAGGGATTTCTCCTGGAGGAGACACACCGGGAACCTGGATTTTGAAAGAAAAGTGTCTGCACGAACAGGGCTTCAAGGGTCTAGTGATCCCAAGCGCACGCGCTTGATTGAAGCTCTACTATTGCTGCTTTGGAATTCCTAGCCATTCCTGAACTAGGAGACCCACTTTGCACTGGGGCCCACAAATTATGTAATCAGCCCTGTACACAAGTGCCCAACATCTGGTGGATTTCCTGTTAAGAAGATGATGTTTGGCCTCATCATGGCCACAGCAGTGTTTCTCTAACGCAGCTCATCATCTGGGCTTAAGTTTGCCCTGGCCGGGTGTCTCCTGCGGAAGGTCTCTGCCAGGGCCCCATCCGTGCTGGACTGTGGCCCCAGAGCCCTCCGAGAGAGCTTCTTAGGAAGCTATGCTCACAAGTCTGGGCTCTGAGTCCCTAATTTTGGACCAGGGAAGACCTGCTTCCTGGGCTTCCTAACAGCAAATGTGGTGGTTGGGGGGGGGGAGGGGTGTTCCTACTTCTCCCTTTCAGTGTCACTAAATTCCCTGGCATTTCATCAGATTCCCTGAGTTATTTGAGTCATTTGATCATTGCTTCATTTTTGTTACTGGGAAAAAAACAAACAGCAGAAAGTTAAAGCATTAGTGCTTGCTTCAGTGACCCAAAATAGTCTCCCATCTACCTCTAATTTTTTTTTTTGTCCTGAGAAGTAAAGCTATTTGCAGGTGGATTAAATGTTCCTTCTGAGCCCCTGAAGCTGCCGATCTTACCTGAACTGTGTGCATCTGTGTGAGTGTTGGGGGGCAGGAGTGGGGGTAGGGAGGGGGCGTACACATTCAAAGAAATGCGTCCGCAGAGTTTTGGTGAAAGAGAGTCCTTTGTGCAGAGGGTAAGCCTGGCGCACATGCCCCCTCCCCCCCCCCCCCGTGGTATGCGGCACACCTGTGCGGAGGAGCGCCGCCGGAGGGGGTGGGGGCGCGGGCTCAGGGCCCTGCACCCTCGCAGGGATCACACCTTCTCTTTTCTTCTCCTTGTAGTCCTGTTTCCATTGCCCCTTTGTTTCGGCTTACACCTCCAAATACCAGGGAGGTCGTGCGAGCGTGCATGCGTGCATGTGAGAGAGAGAAAGAGGAAGAGAGAGAGATTACCTCGGTCTAGGCTCATTTGTATGGGACTACAAAGCAATGGGAAAGAGGCTGGACGGCTGGAGGGCAGTGTTCCCGGCCCCACCCCCACTGCCTACCTTTGCAGGCCTTCCGGTGGGTGATGGGTTTGCCCAGGTCGCGGTAGTAGCCCTCCTTACAGTAGTGACAGTGGCGGCCCGCGGTGTTATGGCGGCAGTTGAGGCACACGCCTCCGCTCTTGCGCCCCGACAGCTTGTAGAGCTCCATGTTGAAGCGGCAGCGCCGCGCGTGAAGGTTGCAGTTACAGGCTGCGGAGGAAGAAAGGGGATGTCAGCGCTCAGCGGGGCGCGCACCAGCACATCGGGCTCTCGCGCCCACCTCCCCACGACAGTGACCACCGTTTCAGGCCAGGTAATGTTCTCCAGGACCTGGAAGGTGGTCTCGCTCTCCGCTGCACGGATACACCCAAGGGGCCTCGTGGATTCTCAGCCGCACGAAGCACAAACGATGCCCCCTGTGACCGTTGTCTGTACTGTAGGCCACGGAATAGTAAAATATTTAAACAGAATGGCTAGGGGAGGTTGTGGATCTACCAGTTTTAATTAGGGAGCCACATTACGCAGAAAGACTGTCGCAGCCTGCTGTGAGAGCGCCTATTTCGACACACCCTTGAGAAGAATAACACAATGCCTTCAGTATCAGCATTCTTTTTTGGAGAAAAAAAATCTTTTGCAACTTCTGGGAAACGCGCACATGACTTTAATTTCTGCGCCTTGGATTACCAGTGCGGTTGGTCAATTTCTCCATGTGTTTGTTTTTCTATTTATATTTCGGTTTTGTGCATTGCCTGTTCATGCCATTTGCCCAGTTTTCAAATAAAGTGATTTGGGTTTTGTTTTTTTTCGACCATATCTACAGCCCTCACATACAATGGATTAAAAACTTTGTCTTTTTCTACCATACGTGCTATACATTTTTTTTTTTTACCAGTTTCTTATTCACATGTTACTTTTTGTGTTTAAAAAATTTACTCTGGGCCCTCCCTGGTGGCACAACCGGTTAAAGCACAGCACTGAGAAGCTAAAGCCTCTTCAGCACAAGTTCCATCCCTGCCCTGAGGTGATCCACATGGCTAGGCAGACCTCTCCTGGCCCGCCCACTGCTCCCCTCAGCAGTGTGCCTAGTCAACCAGCCTGTTTTGCCCCCCACAGTCTCTGGTGAATCCTCTCACCATCCCTGCACCTCTGGCCTATACCCCAGATCTGTATGCATAAGTAAATAAATCTTAAAAAAAAAAAAAGTTTCATTTCTCCCCCTGTTAATTATAAGCTTCGTTAAATATTCTTCCGAGAGTCACGCTTCGAGCCATACACCTATCAGTCACTCAGTTAACAAGTAGAGTTGAGGGCTTTAGAGAGGCAATGTGAGGAATCCAAAAGAAAAGATTCAACTCAAACCTCAAGTCCAGAAGCTGCTGGAAGTCAAATGAAGCCAGAGAATGACTTTCTAGAGCCTTAGCAAGCTCCATCAGCACCTCCAGCCCTAGGGGCTGAGTTTGGCTGAGCCCCACCCACCAGCTAGTGCTTTGTCCTGCAGACACACCTCCACTGTCCCTTTGGAGTCACTCACACACACAGGGTGATGGCCTGCTCACGGAGCTTCAGTGCCCAATCATCTCAGACCACCAAGCTAGTAAAGGTGGTGTCCAGGACTGGCTCCTGGCCTTGGCTTCACAGGAAAGGCCCCCACTGCAGTCCGTGGTCTAGATCTTTCCCCTACTAGCACACAATGCACAGGGTCTGGCACACCTGCCCTGGGAGAGAATCTAGAAAGATCACCTGGGTCTGACTTCCTCTGGTCTCTCCTGTGCCAGGGAAGGCCTGGGAGCAGCATCCTTTGTTTCCTCTCAGAGGCCAATGCTCTAAGGGTCCTCCTATGTAAGGGCTACTCCAGCCTCTACAGTCCTCCTAGGGAGCTCAGTGCTCCCCCCACCCCCATCCAAAAGGGAACTGGGTATCTCTTCCATATGTACCTTACACCAACAAAAGGTACTTCCCAAACAACTGGCCACACAAAAGAAAGCTCAGAGGTCTACATCAAAAGGCAGGGTTCCCCTCTCTCCCCCTCCTCTCGGGGCTGTCAGAGGACACCAAGTGGCAACTGCCCACACTCAGGCTTCTGCAAAGTATTTTATGGCTTGTTTTCTTTTCTCTTTGTTTTATTTTCTCTGCACAAATGGAAAAATGCGTCAGGCCAAGCAGTTCACATCTGGATTACTCAGCTCCACACAGGGATGTCACCCAGCGCCTAGCCTGTGCCCAGGCCCTTCCTCAGAGAGACACCTTAATCCCTCATGCCTTCCTGTTTATCTCCTGCTTCTCTTGGAAGCAAAAATATTGGGTATTAGTTTCATTATCAGATTTCAAGGCGGGAAGGAAAGGGCAGCTTTGTGAGAACAGAGAGGTCAGCCCAGGAGCGAAGGGGGGGTGTTGGGGCAGCAAAGCTTCTGAGGAACCTACACAGGCTGGGCAGGGAGCCCTGGGAAGGGAGGTCCTCTCCAGAGGTCCCCAGAGAGCTGGTCTCCAAGCTCTGTGCCCTCCTCAGATATCATGTGGCACTCACCAGGGGACACATCACATGTGGCTGCACTTCAGACCTGGGGCAAAACATGGGGCAGGAGGCAATAGGAGGAGAAACCTGCCCCCCGCCCCCGCCAACCCATCCCACCCCACCCCAGCTCTCTAGACAGAGAAAGGAGCCCAAGAGATGGGCTTCTTCTATTTTCCTTTGCCATTGACAGGTCACCTGTGTCCTATGTGAACATGAACCTCCACTGACCTGGGCTGCCCAAACCCTTGCACCCCAACCCCATTCAGCTCAACACACACAGTGCTCCAGTCTCAGGCTGGGTCCCATGCTGCAGGCTATGAAGGAGACACAGTGGAGTATGCACTCCCAACAGCCGAGGGCTGCCATCTGACAGAGGAGTGACAAACCTGCAGGATTGGCTGCAGACCCTAGGATCAAGTGGGACAGATGCTCTCCTCAGCCATGTCGGTCCTTTGGGACGGGACAGTGACCCAGTATCTTCACAGGAGCCCCAAGCAGACTGTATGTTTTTGTTGCACAAAATTAGAGTAAATAAGGGGGCTGGGGGAGAGGAAGATGTGGAGAATGACAGAGAGTGAAAGGGGGAGGGAGAAAATGGAGCACAAAAATTGAGCAAGCAGAGTGTGAAGGGATGCATGCCTGGGCGGCTGGATGGGTGGGGTAGGTGGGCGGCTGGGAAGGGACAGAGGTAGGGCAGACAGAGAATAGTGTGGTCTGTCTGAACCATACCCTGACAGGGCTTTTGAGACACTTCTTTTAATGATGTTTTCAGCTACCTGAAACTGACCTTACTGTTTTAACTCATCTAGTGAGCTTCTGTCTGCCCAAGAAGACTGCAGTGTTCAAGGAGACAAATCGCCTAAGTGTCCTGGACTCCTCCTGGAGTCTGAGGAAGGCCTTGCACACAACAGTGGCTGGATTTGCATCCCTTGTTTTGATGAGTTTACCACACAAGTAGGGGGCATCTTGTGCCTGAAAACCCCTGATAAACTAACCCCCATTTTCACTAGGATTATTGTAGGCCCAGAAAGATCTTTGTTCCCTGTGCTGCTAAGAAGCTGTTCATTAAGCGCAAAGTGCAGCTTCAAATGCTCCCCAGAACATGGCAGATTCAGAGCCCTCAACAAAAGCCCACTGCCACATATGAAAAAACCAGGTGCTGGTGTGAATGCAACGGGTACACAGCAGAGCTCCTGCCTTCAGGGTGCTTCTGGCTCAGAGGGGTCTAATAATTACACAACAAATCTGGAGTTCCTAACTGTGACCAGGGCTACAGGGACTGGCCATGGAGGAGACCACAGGGAGAAGGTGGACAGGCTGAGGCCTCAGAAGAGAATCAGAACATACACAATATTCTCTCCTGTGCCGACCCTACAGTAAAGTGGGTATGGACCACCCGGGGTCACACTCAAATGCAGGATCTGATTCAGGGGGTCCAGGAGGAGACCCCTGAGTCTCTGTTTTGAACAAACTCCCAGAGGATGCAGCTGGTGGTGATGGTCAGCATCTCTGCACAGTGAAAGGAAACCAGCTGGGATACTCTGAGCGGTCCCAGGAAGATGAAGACCAGAGTTTATGGCAGAAGGTCTATAATGGGGGATCTGACAGAGGTGTAGTTTCAAGAGATTTCTCATTAAACAATTGGTTCTGGGTATTGAAAATCTTTGGGAGTTATTTTAAGAGCTGAGGTAGTTTGCATTCTCTGTTATTTCTTTGCTACTCTATTTGGTGTAGTTCTTAGACTCCCCCTTTTTTTTTTAAGATTTATTTATTTGTGCATACAGAACTGGGGTATAGACCAGAGGCTCAGGGGCGGCGAGAGGCTTCACCAGAGACAGAGCGGGGAACAGAACAGGCAGATCTACGAAGTACACTGCTGAGGGGAGCAGCGGGCGGGTCAGGAAAGGTCTGCCACGCCATGTGGTCACCTCCAGGGCAGGCGGGAATCGAACTCATGCGGAAGCGGCTTTAGATTCTCAGTGCTGTGCTTTAACCCGCTGCGCCACCAGGGAGGGCCTAGACTCCCTTTTATATATTTTTAAGTATTCTGTCCCGAGTGGTGTCTTTCTGAGCTCAGTTTCAACTTCTAAAATTACCAGGCTGGGCAGGTAATGCTCACCAACGCCTGGGAACACTCATCTGGGCTTCCACGGGCTCCTTTAGGGAAGGGTGGTCTGAGCTCTCCTGGTGCCCACACCCTTCTTGTCTGTCCATAAGAAAAATGGTCATACATGTTGAAAAATCTAAGAAACAATTATGTGTTAACGGCAAATATGGTAGCTCGACGATTTCTTCATTCATGCAACAGGTATTTACTGAGTACCTACTATGTTTAGGGAACTGGGTGAGGCACCGGGATATAACAGAGACAGGATAGCTACTCTGTCCTCACAGAGCGTTTGGAAATGGCTATGATCAAAGTCTGGTTAATGCTGCTACCTTTGTTGCCTTATTCCAAGATTCACTCTACTTTCCCAAACACAAGGGTTAAATTAAAACATGTCACAAGAGATGTCGCCTGGCTAGATATGAGTCAACCAAAGAGACTGAACAACTGCCATAAGACTAGAACATCACATGGTTTGCTGCCAGTCAGGAATGTAGGGTTTACAATCATTTGGGGATGGCTTGTATCATTTTTAACTTAAAGATGACAGGTAGACATAACGGGAAGCCTGGTCAGCACGTGTGTCTGAAA